ATCTAATCTCTCCACCTGAATGTCACTAGTGGCAACACCAGCTTTCACAGCATGTATTAACAGCCTCTATACTGCATGTTCTAAGTGACTCTTGTTAAGCTATGTGTTCATATTTTACCAATTATTCACAGAGAGTTGTCAATCCTGCTAAGCAGAACATTACACAGTAATGGGACTGATGAGTGACTGCTGGTGAGAAGTAGATTGAACAGAAGGATTTCTGTCTCAGAAGATTTCACTGTAGACCTGAATTCCTGGCTTTAAAAACCCATTGAAAGACACCATTTTGAAGTGAAAGTATTTGTCATGAAACCCTACAGAGCTGGGAGGCAGTAATGAGAAACTGAGTCAGTTACTGTTTGTATTTTCCTATACAGAATTTTATCATAAATAATCATAAAGGAGGCTGTACTGAAATGAAATCTGTTATTGCTTGAGAGAATGCATGCATCAATTTAAAGTTTTTTTGTCCTACAGCATTTATTTTAATGCAGGGTCCCTACTGTCGATCTCTGAATAGGTTTGCTAAGTTGCAGCATGAAAGGTTCTCTTCTTCCACTTCTGAACATTTGTCATTTACACCTGAAACAATAATCCTTTTAAAGCTTTCAAAGGTTGTCAGGTGCGATAGCTCACAGTTGATCTAATTGAGCTCAGACGTGAACGCTGTACCTTCCATTAAAGCTGTTATCTATTATGCAAGTAAGCACACAACATCACAATGTAATTGTCAATAGCATTATAACAAAAAATTGAGTATCCTGTATATGGAGTTATTGATTTGTTTAAGCACTGTGAGGAGGTAATAATATATAGTTTATCTACCTCAGATTTGCTAAATGTATATAAAGTGTTTGTCATTCTTTGCTTAGAGAGTTTAAAACCACATTTACCAAAAAAAAAAAGTATTTTAACTTGAAACTTTTTCAGTGTTGTCATATGCACAGATTGGACTAGAATATCTTTCAGTCGAGAGCATACCTTTGCCAAGGCCCATCGGTCCCCTTAAATTCAATCAAGTCAACTTGCACACACTCATAGATATCAGTCCCCAAATATATCTCACTCTCTTTTCATCCATGCGTTACTCCCTGGAAAATCTGTGTTTGGTTATAATCTACCTCGCAGTTTTTGCGTGATGCTGAAAACTCACAGACAGACAAACTTAAATGAAAACATAACCTTGTGGGCGAAGTTAATAGTTAGTCTAACTATATCTAACAAGCACCTGTGTTTATCTATTTTGTAATTTATCAACGACTGCTGATCCTTCTTCAGTCAGCTGTCCAGCTCCTCGACGCTCATTCATCTTTCCCTTAACAAAGACAAGCCAGCCCTCTGAGCTCACCGATAAGAAAACTCACTCGCTCCCACAGGCAATCCATTCTACACTGACCCACTTGTTTTCACGATCCGTCAAATGGGATTTAAGAACTGTGGTTGGCCAAGAGGGCAGCGGCCATGTGTGGCAGCACTTACCTGCTGTGGTAAGATTAAAGTTCTATGAAAAAGCCACTTTGATGCATTTTACTCCACTGTCATCACACACAAATGAATCAATACATTTACATACCTTGCCCAAAGGTGTCAGTGTACTTTAGATAACTTTTTCTTTCTTTTTTGATAAATCGCTATGCTTGCGGTGTCAACATTATACAAGAGGAAGGCACTGAGCACAGAGAATGCATAATGCATGTGCTGAGCATGACTACATGCACATAGCAAGAGCACATCTTTACCCACACAGTTGGTCATTAACCAACAAGCTTGTCTCACTCTCATTTGAATAAAATGGTGTAATTTGCTTTCTTGTGTAAATGTTGTCTGTGAGACTGCACTTTCATGTGTGAGCACTGTTCACTCTTTACTTTGTAAAGCGTCCTGAAAGATTGATCATAATGTGACGCACAGCACTGATGAAAAGGGGCATTCATTAGCAAATTCATCTACTCGGTCTAATATGTTTTCAAAAATTTGAACTGGATTACTCAGTGACATATTAATGTGGCTCTCTGGAGCCATTACAACCCTGCTTCAATAGTGCACCGTGGGAGCCCCAGACTAATGTGTTTTTGTCTAATAAAACCGGAATACCACCCCCTCCTTATAATCCATAGAGTTTGGCTATCTCAGTTTTATAACTGGGCCTTAAGGTTTTTCAACCACAGCGAGAAAAAATGACTGAAATGTGCTGCAAATCAGGCATAGCTATAAAAACGTTGCTCTCTACTACATGATAATAAGACAATAATTTATGTACAACTAACATGCATCAGAAACAGTTACACTACTGTAGTGTATCACTGAAAGCTAGTGCTTTATTTTGTAAATGAAATAAATTGCATATTTTTGGAGCAGGTAATAAATTAGACTGTTGCTTTAGTTACAGCTGACAACACATATTTAATTGCATCTTTTACACCCACACATGTTTTTTTCTGTTAAATGGATTATATACTGGCTGATCTTGATTTGAATCAGCATCAAACGTGCTGAAGCGTGAAGCAACATGAATAAACACCTTCATTTATCTATAATAGTAGCTTAATTGAGATAAGACATTCGTGCATTCATCTACTTGTTTTGGTTTGTTCGATCCTGGTGCTCGTCTGGAGCCGGATATCCAAGTCCCACAACTAAAGCTTCAAGATACAGAAGTAATCCACCTAAATCCACAAACGGCTATTAATCAGTATGAGGAAAGCATATCTCGCAAACCATTCAATTTATTGGCTTCACACTTGGTTTGTGTACTGTCAATGGCTCGGGGTAGTGCAGTGTTGAGTTTGGTGGGATTTAATGAAAAGGCAACCAGAGCTCTTTGGCAGTCAGTAGGTTTAGTCAGTCAGTCTGCAGAAAGAGTTGAACGTGTATTCTTCATTGACTATAAAATCTTAATTGCTGATAAACCAGGTGGGATGAACGCATAGTTTTCGAACTCCACTCTGGACCATAGACTATTTTTAGTATCTCTGAACACAACATCCAGCACACAAACAGTAAAAAAGTGACGGTATATTGGAAAACTGTTTGAGGACTCACTAATGTCAAGAATCATTGTGAAGTAGCTCTGGAGCATTAACACAGGACAAGAGAACAGAACATTACAAACAGGCAGGTTCAGAACAAGCATAGCTCTAGGGTTACTAATCAATGGTGTTTGACATTTTGAGTATTTGATCATTTGTTTGTTTACCTCTGCTCCATAAAACTACAAGAGTTTTTGTGTACTGCTGTGAGCCTGTCACCCTACTGCAGCGTAAGTCTGAGGCTGAGAAAATGGAAAAACGGTTCCAAAGGTGTACCATCACGTCACACAGAACATTATGCAAACTGAAACACAGGAGATAGATTCGCCAACATGTTAGAATTAGTGCAGCATTCCAGCTCAGCTTACAACATTTGCTTGTCGCTGCATCTCCTGTTATGGACTCCAACGTTATCAGACCCAGCTCATTTAAATGGGGGAACAAATCTACATGAAACAGATCAAGGACAAACTACAGTAAGCAGAGCCAGTCACTAATGATAAGTATCTTTTTTATCGTTTTCTATGGGCGAGGGGATAAACGAGATCCCCATCGGCTGACAGTTTTTTCCTCCTTTCTGTTCTCTTTGCTGTGATCAGCCTCTGATGATTAGGGTGAAGGTGTGCAGTCACTTTTCACAACCTGGAGATATCATCTCTCTGATTTGCATAGGTATGCAAATGTTCCAGGTTCCAATTGAGTTGTTGAGAGATCAGTGATATAAGTTGGTGCGTGCATGTGTGTGTGTTCCCTCCCCTTTTGCTGCCTACTACAGTATGTAGGTCAATGTTTTTGCTGCCTGTGTTCCTTGTCTGATTGATATGTACTGTATTCAAAGCCAGATGCTAATGCAGTAGGAGCCAAGTTATTTATGATGCTACAGGGAGTCTGCTGATGCTGTACCAGGTTTACAGGCAGGGGTTTCATTACCCTTTGTCACTGACTGATGTTCTTTTATATTGTGACTCTATATTTTCTACTGTTCTTTGTCGAACATATATAACTAGGTGTGGTATTCAATTAGCAAACTTGTTGTGTTATATTATTTTCTGATTTTGCATGTGGCATGTGTATTGATAGTGGACGAGGGACATTCTTCAGGAAGATTTTTGTGCATTTTGGACAAATACAATATTAATTAGGATTGAATAAACAGTTGACCAGCGATCTGTAGTAGTCAGAGTCAGCAGAGTGTGTGTGTGTGTGTGTGTGTGTG